CCCAACCAACAGCGCACTGAAGATGTCTCCTCGAATGGTGACGAAACGTTAGTCAGTCAATTGCCAACCTCGGCGAACAGATCAACAGCCACCTGATCAATTACCAATAATACGAATGTTCCAAATCCATCGTATGCGCCAGAAGCTGATCAATTACCAATAATACGAATGTTCCAAATCCATCGTATGAATGCGCCAGAAGGCCGACGTATGCGCTGAATAGATGCAGCGCATTTTCCGAAGTCAAAAATTAATCCAGCCGTAGATCTTGGAGTGGTAAACAACGTAAGGCTCTTAACAGCTGTGGAGCTAGTTATCTGACAGACAGCCTCACTTTTTTTTAGCACTGTTAGTGTGCTGATCTGAAAAAATAGGTGAAACTGACTGTGAGCCCTTGCCGGGGTTCAAGAATATGCAGAGAAGCATCTTCTGGCGCACAAAAAGGCTTCTTGATCAAGTAAGATTTCGTTCCTTTGGTCACCTAATTTGAACCGTGTCCACACTCGTCCACGGATGGTTTTAGCAGCTTTTCTAAATATGTTTACCGCTGACTGAATTTCATTGGAGGACAAGCTGACAGCCTAGCTAAATCATCTAGCAAATATTTAGGTAGCACATCATGTATGAGTAATCCAAGTCAGTATACAGTGATTGAACTACAGACTGCATCTTGTTTACAAAGTTTACATACCTGAGTCCTGAAATGACCACTGCTGTTTGTCTAAATCAAACGGTATCCACAGGCCATGAGGTTGCACTACTTTTTTCAGTAACTTGTATTGTATATAACAATGTGTCTTTGCCGATAATGCTGAGTATGTGAGCATTTTCAATAATCTGGTTGCCATACATTTTTGGGGAATCATTTTATTCAGGTAGTGAGCATTTGGTTCTCAGAGGGCAGGTATATTGCGAAGCGTTTAAATGTCTGTTACAGTGTTTGTAAAGGAAAATGGTATGAAATTTAATCCCAGCTGTGCTAGCCACCTTCAATTCATTTAGTCGAATGCACATACAGACGACTTGTGACTCCTACGCAGCATAGTACTACTTTAGATGTTTTCACCTATACATTACAGGTGTCGTGCGACATCGCCTAAGATACACATTTTAACGTGTCAATTCAAGCAACACACAGTAGTCGCATTCCGAAGTTGACGAATCTAAATCCGCGGCCGATATCAGTGTACTTAACGACCTGTACGACGCATCGAAACACGTGTGAATTCGCCGAACAGCACACACACAGATTTCATCTGGACATACTGCTGACTTGGTTACCCTCCACTTTTTCTCCAAACCAGAAGTTATTTGACACGCTTGTGCTCCAAGAGGCTGAAGAAAAAGGAAGGTATCAATTGTTACACGACTCAAGGGCAGATTTAGGCGCTTGTTGAGGAAAAAATCCGTTGTACAGCACAAAATACTTAGCTTCCCTCCAGTAGCTGATCGCATTCTCTAACAGAACACCCCAAAATTAAGATACATCATCTCTGATCCGTTGCAGTGAGACTAATGTAGCGGCAATAAATGTGGAATACTTGGCCATGTTATATAGTTTCTTTTAACAACTTTGAACGATGATTTTCAGGGAACTGCACGGAGCCTACCGACACAACCTAATTTGTCGGAACATGCAAGATTTGTATGTGGTGTGGTGATTATGAGCACGATTGCTGGATATTTTTCGATTAATTTGAGATAAAATCTACCCACGGCTTGTAGTTCCGATGACAGGTTTCTTCATCATCGTTCCACACGGCAATCGGCAGACCGATGTTGAATAGAGCAGTGGCACGTTGATTTCTCACGATGAGTTGGTTTATCACCTTGTTGTGAAAGAAGCGAGTGTCAAGAGTCCCTTTGTGCAATGCAAGCCATGACATCCAAGCCCACACTTTTCGTTAAGCAACGTTACACATCACTGTTAATGGATTCATATCTTTTGCCATACTCCTCGAATATTACTGAAATGTGATATTGTTTACCATTAGGACTGGACTCGGTCAAACGGAAAAGGGTAACAATGCCTGTTTGGTTCAGAGCACTGACTGATAGTTTGTCGTTACTCTTTGGCCGCAAACGTTCAGAAGATTGACAGATTCACAACGAAGCATTATAGGTGAATGAATGAATGAGAGAAAAAATCCCAACCATGGGCACTCAAAAGACACGCACATTCTCTGCCTTTCAATCATGTCTATCCAAAATAATTAACCATGATTTCTCCCGAGCCCTGGAGAGTGGTTGACTTTCCGTCTCTCGGTAACATTAATATAGGCTATCACGGTTGGATGACTACGACTCAATCACGAGGGTAGGTTTTTTTCTAATATTATTTTTTCTACTCCCACCGACCGCGTTCTTTCGCACAACGTTGCGTGCTGCGGTTCCGTCATTTATTAGTGGCTAGTATGCACGGCGGCGCAAAAGACCAACGTTCAGATGAAAGAAACTCAAGAAGTTGCAGATGAATAGGATTTTTTCTGATAGAGTTTCTTCGTGAAAGATTAGCGTACTTTCCTTCCTTCCTTCCTTTCCGTGACATCAGTGATCTTACTTTGGTTTGATTTATGGTTGATCGGATTGCAAGTCTTTTTTTGGATACTGACTGGTGGCAGGAGAAGTAGAAGATATCGGGTGTACCAAATTAATTGTGTGTAGGGGTATGGTTGATCTGAACGGGGACAGGTCATCTGGGTGAGATCCAACTATCCAGTCAATACATGAGCGTATATTAACAGACGAAAGCCGACGCCCATATAAGTAAGTTAGGCAGCTCAGTCTATCCGGTGTGCACTTTAGTGATGATTTTAGTGATTTAGTGATTTTCGGGTGTTATCCGGGCCACATCACGTTGTTATCCCCTGCTTCCCACTGTAAACTCACATAACAACAAGGAATGCATCTCACTGCAGGCTTCAATGCCACCCATTTCTACAAAGAGTCGAGATTAATAAAGATCATCGAACTAGATGGATAGTGCATCCTGTTCAGCGATAGAATGTTCACTCCTGCCTGTAGAAGATAGTCTATTAGTTCCTCAAGCTGAATACTTTTTTTCACAAGCAAGCTACATCAGTGAATTTTGATCACACATCGATTAGTTCTGACATATTTCCACCCAAAAATGTTTACCCCTGTGAAACGAGTCCATAGGGAGATTGAGACGTTCGGTGTGTATAAACTCCCATACTGGATTGAATTTTCAGACGGCAGGTCTAACCTTGTGTTGCGAACTTTGATCAGTTAGTAATTGTTTTAGTGCACTAACTCCGTTCGATCAACCACTGCCGTCTAGTTTGTATGCCCTTCAGAAAAAAAAACTAGCCACGCAGGCTTTCTAGTACACCCTTTGTCTGTACTCTCACCGATGGGACTTAAATGTTGTCAGCCTAGTTAGAATCACAATGGGATGGCTGTTTACAAAAGGAATTCCAGTTCGGTTGTCCCCTGTGTGTTGTCGCTGTGGGCTTGAGATTGAGTTTCGCTAACCAGCATCGGACATCTAATTTACTCCGTGTCCTTAGCCATCTTGGCCAGAAAGTTTATATATATATATATATATATATATATATATATATATATGATGTGTATACTTTGAGATTTGTACAAGCTACCGTTCCAAACCTCTAGGGCATCTGACTACAGTTTGCTGGTCAATCATTGTGATGTGTAGATGAACAAGAAACACCAAGAAGCATGAGCCTGGTAAGCAACCTGAGCTTTGAGAATAGCCATGGAGTTGGATGCCAGGCAGGGTAATACATCAAGTGACTAGAAATCCCCTAAGTGTAAAAGTTACTTCGAGTTTGCGTACGCGTAAGAATGGATTTCTCAGTCCTGCCTTCTTAAAGCGGTATTATCCGTTTGATCCGTTTTTTTTTCGGTTTTCGCTTCTCCGTAATTTTACCATCTACTGAGTATTGTTTTGTGAAAGTAGTTAAATCAGTCTTGCCAGGGCTACCAAGGATTCATTTATTTGCTTAGCTGTCCGTTTTAATCTTCTTTAAACCAGAATATTATGCAGTGAAGACTCACGAGGTAACTTGCGCAAGGATGTGTTTTGTTCAACTGTCCCTTGAGAAAGGCTGCCTTCGATAACAAGAAGCCCTCCTATCGGCTGTTCGTTCTCATCATCATCATCCTCATCATCATCATCATCGTCATCATTATCATCATCATCATCCTCATCATCATCATCATCATCATCATCATCATCATCACCATCATCATCATCATCATCACCATTATCATCATCATCACCATCATCATCATCATCATCGTCATCATCATCCTCATCGACAGCTTGATACCGGAGTTCAACACTGATACACCGCTTTTCGTTCTATCCAGCTAGCTATGTTAACAGAATCAAAGTGCTCCATCGAAACCATACCGACCTATGTTATTCGGATGTCCACGAATGACAGCGTTTTCTTGCGCATTACTTAAGTCGGAGTTGGTAAATCACAGTGGACGTAAATTTCGAAACCAGTGAGGGGAAACAAATCATGCTCCCTAACGGGCATCTGGATTAAGAAAGGTCTGCCAGGTCTCACCAGCCTTGGTTAAATTATTCACCCCGAGACGGTTTTCACACAAGCTATGAATGTCTGACTTTCAACGATTGTTTCATATGAGTTACATTTAGCGTCTCGCTAAATAGATCCGTTTGTGTTCTACCACCGTGTACAGTGGTTTTGTCTCAGACCGTCAGAAAAACACCCATCACATTCAAAAATGCTACGTTCACTGTAGGAATGGATGATGCTCTGGGTACTCTGTTCCTATCTCCTCACCGTTCCGCTGTTCCGCTTCGCTTAATGTGCAAACCAAAATTACATCCGTCAGCGGCATAATTACCAGAGAAACTGTTGGAACGAGCGAAGGTGAATAATCGCCACTTCACCACTGGCATACATTAGCTCTGCTGATGATGGATCATCTCTTTGCCTCGCTAGCTTCACGCTCATCCCCGGTCGCTTCATTAGTATGCAGCGATCGATGAAATTCACTCGCAGCGGAACTAATCACATAAGAGCCGCTGATTCGTTCCTTTAAACTTGTGAACAAGACATCATATGATTGCTGTTCACCACAGTGAGAGGGTCTGTTAGGAATCCTGCTACAAGGATTGGAGTTTTCAATGCCCCGGCTGGAATATTTCTAGTCAAAGAGCTCTTGGTGTACGTGAGTTCCGAGCATTTTTTGTAGCTTGGTAGAACGGATAAATTCGGAAACGTGACTACGAATTTCTGCAGTGTAACGCTCGAAATCGATAGCCTTGTGGTTGTCTCATGACAAACATTGTACGGAGAAGCTTAGAAAACTTCTATACATTCCAGTTACCTAGGATGTAGTTCCAAGTAGCAGCTTAGTGTCATTTTGACGCTTCGTTGATCATTTCGCACAGTTTGTTGAAAAGTGGCTGCTTTTTTCAACCATTGCATTCAACATCCAATGCCAATTCGTGTGAGCTGACTTTGTGACATTTCTGCAATTGCCGTCGTCTGCAAATCAGCTGGAACTGAAAAGCTCGTAGACAGCTCACTTCGAAGTCACATCATAGCACGAAGATTCCTGGCTCATCCGTGTATAAGCAGATAGATGTTGTGAAGTTCCGTTTGAAGACTGTCTCATAGAACAACAAAGGCTTGTATGAGGTTGTAGTTTGAAGAGCGGGAATGGAAAGCGATTAATAGTAAGGCCTCTGGAATAGGAAGACAAAAACTCTCATAAAGGAAACGACTCACAAGGTTGCTGAAACCTCCTCGAAAGACCACGACCGGTTTCGCCCTTCTTGGGGCTCGTCAGGTAGGCGCTGTTCCCGAGTTTCCGTCAACTTTATGTTCTACTTGAACCCAAACTGGACGGTTTTTCGAGAAATACACGCATTTGCAAATCAATTTGGTTTGATAGTAGTGCCAAAACTGTTAGGAAACAGACCCCAGTTAGCTGCAAATCTGATGCAACATTTCCTTCCTTTTTTTACACAAACTAAATGTGTTGTTCATCTTCGATTAGATTTTTAAGAACTTGTTGCTACTGCTACTATCCGCTAGCCTCATTCCTATGTTGCACACAGCCCCAACCCCCAACTGCGCACTGATGATGTCTCCTCGTATGGTGACGAAACGTTTGCAAGCCAATTGCCAAGCTCGGCGAACAGATCAACAGCCATCTGATCAACAACCAATAAACTCACCCGAGCTACCAATATTTCACCACATTACCATATATGTTGCTTTTGGTGTCATGTGCGGTTTGCATTTTCCAAACCCAGGGGAGCCTAAACTTGACTGTTCTTAGTCTCTACCTGACGTGCTAGTCTGAATAGTTGGCTACTTGTTTTGGTTAGATGGCGTGTCACAGTAACCTTGTTAAACGTTTGTGTGGGGAACGGCGAGCAAACACTGATTAGTAGCACATGGGTATGAGTTGCTTGCCGGATCTGAATCGAGACAAAGTTGAGAATCTTAGTGTCAGTGTGTCGCCATCTCACCAAAGATTGTTCACACAGCGCCAAATGTGCGTGATCAAGCTGTCCCAGAGTGAGCGCTATTCTTCTTGTTGTTGACAGTATCCAGCTGGAAGGCAATAACAGGGCAGACTATTGACTGATCCGGTGAGCGGTCCTCAGATCCAACAGATCGTCATCTCTATCGTGCGTGACTAGGGAGTTATGAGTTTCGTTCTATGGATCGATATGCTAAGTAAAATGTCGATGATTTGTTCGGACCGACGACACATAAAGCACATGGAGATAAATCTTTTATGAATCCCTTTGCTCTGGAACTTTACTTGATAATGTATACATAAGCTTAATGAACTGCCCAACGTAATGTGAAATGGGAACCCTCCAGAAGATTTCTAGAGTTCACAAAATCTGCACGTCGAATAGATAGACGTTCTTGGGATGAGCAACCAGTGTCAATCGCTGGTCTGATAAACGGGCTTACTGTGTGACTGAAATTGCAATCGTTTTAGGGGAATTCGGTAGTCACATGACGAATATCACTTTAGCGTGCAGAGGGAACATCGATCTCACATTATTCATTTTCCAGTGTTGAAATTCAGTAGTTGAATCCTGTCGAATTTCAGGTAACTTGCACTTTACCCTCCCCTTTATGGTATCCAGAGATGCGCCATAGCGAAAGGGCTTAGTTGGATCTCCACTCAGAATATCAAAGATCAAGGAATTAGTGGGTTGCTTTTTATGCGTATACTCCCTAATGTCACAAAAATACATAAGTTTCAATGGCTTCCGACAGTATGATATCCCGCTAGACTGAGTTTGAAAGGCTTGACCAGTCGTGCACTGTTGTCACGATAGGCGGAGAAGCAAATTTGAAGTGAAATTCGGATTTACGTGCACGCATCTCACTATGTACCATCTTTCGAACAAAACGGGTTCGCCGAGACTGATTAGCATTTCACGGTTTTGCACCGTTCTTCACTGTTTGATTGACGGGAAGCCAGACAACAAAGGAACAGCCAAAAAGTCGCATACTTGCGCACGATTTCCCCTCTGTGTGAAAATTCGACAGCATAGTTTTTTTATGTGTAATCCACACGAAGTTTTCCGCTGCAGAGAAGATGTGGGTCTCGAATTAACATTGTATCAAAATGCTAGACTACTGACAGAAACTCTTGCCTGAAACTGGTATTTTCATACAGGACATTATCTGCTAACCACCCCACCTCGCCTGATAACAGATGAGCAATTCTCTGTTCAGCTTCTCATCTGACGCGAAATTCTCATCTGGATTTCTAACCCATACCCGAGACCTTGAAAAGCTGCTCTAATTTAGCAGGTTCAGGCATCAAAAGACCATAAACAGCCCAGACTTTATACCGCTCGTCTATGTAATTCTAGTTTATTAATCTCGACACCAACCCACCAATACTCCACTGTCTACAAACCATCCTACCGACGGCGTGCCTTGACGTTTGTACAACTAAAGTGCATTTGTGGAAAGCAGATTAAAACGTCAAGAAGGTGGTTACTTGCATGCACTGTCGTGAACATACTCTTCCAATAAAAATCCCCAGGCTAGGGGAGAAACCATGACATAGGTTAACCAGTTTTGCACTCTAAAGGCCTTGAGTACATTCTTAAACGTGGATTCCGGCAAAACCCACCGTGATCTATTGGAATCAACGTTAATCTTGGTTTATACTTCGTCAGCCCGGTATCTTACGTATTTTGACCGCTTAAGAAACCGGAATAGGTCAGCTACATTTTGTTATCATGATCTTTTATCTATTCTCCTGATTGGTTCTCTCCGGGCTCCACAAAATCATAGATGTCAAATGACCGACGATCAGTGTGGTCCGACTCATCTACACTACTCTGTAGAAGCACGCTGGATCGATTATGTTTTTTATTGTACCAAAATCTGTCCGTAAAATCTACTCACACCTTAGCGTTTAGCACCTCCCCAGTGACAGTGCGCACACCTTCTGGCCATAAATTATAACCTGCAACCGCAAGGCAAGGTAGCAAGTAGTACCTGTAAAATAGAGACGAAGAGCAGACAGACCGGTACAACCGACTGGAAGGCCGATGACACTGCCAGAGGAATTTCATCGGGCTTCACATTTAAGTTTTGCAAAGGTATAACTTGGAAGTGTTTAGTGGCAATGACAAAACTTTTCGGAGGGCGATACACTTTTCTCCAATGTGTGCTTTCCACAGCTACATGTGGTAGAATAACTGGCTTACGTATGCCATAACAAACTCACCAATTGCATATGCTGAGGGGACGTCTGACGAGAGAAGTTTGGGTGATATATCCAGACGGTCTGAAGCTGGTCTACTTCACTGGCAGTTGATTACCCACATGGTCTTTGGTATAAGACATCGCAAAGGAAGAAGGAAAAATATTGACAAGAATTTCTGGACGAGTGAAGCTAGCTTATACGCTTGACTGGTTAAACGAGAGTTGCACGAATGGAGAACCCTAACGTGGATTTTCGGTAAACGTGCTCTTGGACAGGGTCCTTACATAAAGACATTATTGCAACCATGAAAACTGAATAGGTACCGAGAGGTAAGCAAAAGAGGAACAGTATCACGTGTGAAACGGTTGTGATTTGATACGTTGATCCTAAGGTGGCATCATTCGTGTACTCTGGAGAAATGGATATTCACGGTTGAATGGGAGTCCAAAAGCCGCTGAAATTTACCAGTTAATGGAACTACCTCATTGTGATGTTAGACATGGCTAGAAGACAGGTGAAACATATCGGCATCTTACCAGCCAGACAGAGGTAGCCAGTTTGGCGTTTCATTTGTACGTCCACTTTAGTAAAGGTGGAATTCCGAAACGTTAACAAATTGGTGGCGTAAGGGGATTAGTTAAACTAGAATGTAATGGACTCAACTTGTTCAGGTACACGGTCCCATTAAGCTATCTTTTCAGGCATTATTCTGTTAGCAACATGTATGAGGCAGAACCCAATGCGTTTTCTTGCGTGTTTCGATCAAGCATTGAGCACAGTGCTTGCTCCATTGAGGGATACGGAATCAGTGCAATCCAATGGAATTGATTAAGCAATTGCTGCATCATATCCACTTTTCGTGACTTGATCAAATATTTCTGCCCTTTTTCTAACACCGTTAGCGAGGTGTTGATTCACGTACACGCTGTTGTTCTATCAAGTCGCCTTCAATCATGAATTTCCAGAGCAAGCAGTTCATCCATCAGGCTGGATATGAATGTCCGAAGTAGGCTCACTACTTTGTTGTAAACTAGGGATGATAGTCCTACCAAGCAACTCTGCTCTCGTTGTTGCACCGTATCAACTGTTTAACCCAGACGCTGGCAATATGTTTATTCAGCAAACCACCTAATGTGGAATATTAATGGCCGGGTGGTAAACAAAACACTCAAAGTACTACGATTGACAGTCTGGTTGGTAGGAGTCCAACATGCCACCTGCCAAAAACGCGGTTGCCACACGCTTTTATTCCTAATTTTGGTTTGCCATCTTCGACAGTGCAATAAAATACTCATTAATTCACGTCTGACTAGCCCGTTTAAAGGTCATTAAACGTACGTGTCCGCGGTTACTGTGGAAATCAGGTGAGAGTGCGTTTTCTGGCTGTGGTTCATCCTCGGAATTATTTAAACTCGTTGGATTTGGTGAAAACAGAACCATCATGGCAGTATGTTGGACCAACTACTCCATGTGTTCGGAAAAACGGACTTCATTTCTCTGTTTAGGCGCACGGTCGCATGAGACAATTATTGACTTTCGGCTGACAGAATGAAGCCTTGTGTACCCGGGTGTGACTAAGACAATCAATAAAGCTGTTGTAGTGTCAAGAACCGGAATTATTTACTTTTCGTGGCTGCCACCTTCCTCGTATAGATGAAGGAACATATCGCTGGCCCCATCACACTTTAGACTCTCCACTAGAAATAGCAAAAAAAACGCGTTATGATTCAAGCAGAGAAGAATCCATGCACTACTCTTCAATCGCTTGTTTGATGGTCTCTTCAATAGACCAATGTGAGCTTTAAGATACCCGAGTAACGCACTGAAATGGCTCTGACTCTGACTTGGCAGAGGAGTTTGAAGGAGATCACGAAACGCTTGGTGCTGTCGGGTGGTACTCGCCTTTTAGGATGGGGACCGCGTGATCCTCACTGTGCCTGGTTGGAGACACTAAAAGATATGGCTGCCAACCGATGTTAGTGGCGTTCTTGTTGTCCAGATTGCCTGAGTGAATGTATGGAGGTGTAGGCACCTCGGAATGATTGTGTTGAGCTAGCACTAAGTCCCTCCCCCGTCCACCTTTACTCTTTTCTTTACAATAAGGCTTTCAACTAAATCATGGTTGTACGGCAGTGAAGCATCGGTGTTGAACACTGATGTCATGCTGTCGATAATGATGATGATGACTGCGTATTTCTTATTTTTCGAAAGCTCGTCAATTAGGCGCCATTCCCAATCCTGATTAACCGTGTTTCCTACTGAAGTCCAAGGTGGAAACAACTTAATTACAGTAAACTTCAATTTATCTGAGATTCCAGCAAAAGGGGACCCAAATTCTTAGGGGTAATTATGGTGTGCATATCTTGGTCATGTAAAGACCACATAGAAAGCTTTCAGACCGTCGGGTCGGCCACCAGTGATCACGTGCTAGGTCACGGTATTGAAGCATCTGGGTAAACAATCGATATACAAAATGTTCGACAACGATGCTTCTTCTGGTTATCATTTATTGGGACGAATCAAAATGGTGGGTTACTGGTGGAAGGTCACGGTATTTCTGTGTGAAAACGTTCAATTTCTGCATCGCTTTGAGAAACAGAGTTACATGTGGGTTGCGAAATGCACATATTTTGGTAAAACCCGTCGGGTTTATCCGCGTGACTTTCCTAATGTTATGCTTAAGCTTTGTGTCGGTACCACTGCCCGTATGATTGCATGACGAGATATACGTCATATCGTAGCGCCTGAAGAGATAAGCGAAGATAGCTCAAGGTTATGAATTTGCACTTTTTGCATGTCTTCGGTTATGTTGAACGGACTCGCCTTTTCCACAGGATTCAGAGCATTTTTGCCAAACATAGACTACGCCATACACCAGTTCCTTTTTTCCTGGGTACCGATGGTCACTCCGTCATTCTAATCACAAGGAAAGGCTTGCAAATCACACCAGTAAGCTTTACTTCTGGTTATTGTCGGCTAATCAGTGTGCAGTAATATAAGATGCCGGTCAGCAGACCGATCCAGGAAGAGTCTGTAGTCTGGTATTACTGCCTCCCGTAATGAATCTGCTCCAATGTTTCCGGTAGAAAAAAAGCATCCAAACAGTTCATCTGAACCTTGGTAGTTGAAGTGTAGACTTACTTGGGCTAAAAATGTTTGCAAAAACCAAATGATTCTTGCCAAAGCTATTGAAATGAAAAAAATCGCCCAGCTGTAGCACCCTTCAGGTGCCTAGCTGCCATGCCACACGAAGGCTGCACGAGGGCTGGAATACTGTCAGGTCGCCCAAGCCTAGACAGGGGAAGTCGAGAGGCAGAGGTCGGATTCGAACCACGAAACTTCCAGTCAGTAAATTCGCGCTCTAACCACTTGGGTCATCTTGCCCCCCCTACCAAAGCTATTAGACCATCCACATTGTTGGTTAATATCTAATCCATTCTGCACAAATTTCAGTTAATTCCGGAAAACATCTAAGGCATTCACTGTTGAAGGTCATGAAGTTTTGGTTCTTGATTGCTCGTGCCTCAGTTTAGACGGTCCATCTTCTAATTTGCATTACAGCTCCCTTTTGAAACATGTAACCCCTTATCTCAATCAGAATGAGGCTATGGATGTTCACACCTCTAGAGTCAACCTACAGTCCATCCGGGAATGATTTTTAGCCTGCATTTTGACAACTAAGAAAGTGTCATCTAGCCATAACGTGCCAATGATGATATTGCTTGAAATTAGGCAACAGCAACCTTGTAAGTGATGTGTTACATCACGAAAGCACTGAAGAATGAGGCGATCATGGTTCAGCACATTCGATCGAGGAGTACCATGGACGATATACTCATCTGAGTTGCCGGTTGGCACTGGTGTAGTTTCCAAATTTGTATAATTAGCCTAGGTAATATCTCCTTTAAATCACCAAACAGATGGTTGAGTTTAAGGGGGTTGAGAAACCCAATAAGTACTAGAAAATACTCGGGGCCGCTAGACCCTAGGTTTCGTAGAAATCAGTTCTTTTTGTGGCGGAATCTTATGTACATATTCGGTGGTCCCTTAACAACATGAGTTGAACACCCCGGTGGAACAAGTGATTTTTGTCAACATCATTCTTTGGATTATGGAGACCGAATGAAGCATTCGCTTACAAAAGTATTATGTGACAGATGCAAGTGAATACAGTCTGAATAAGTATGGAAAATTACTGCCACTCAATCAAGTCTGTTGGACACAATTTCCACATACTTTGGTTAGGGAAAATTTGGCTAGCAATAACAAAGCAAACGCTGTATTTCAGTGGAATTCGACATTCAAGTAAGCGTACGAGAGCAGAACACCAAAGTTAGGTTGAAATTTCGCACTTCTTGATCGGAATAATATTATTGGTTTACTGGGGGGATACCGTGGAAGACGAGCACGACGAATAACGTCGACTGTACACCCAATATTGTCATTGATGATATGACAGACAAAATCACTGCTGTCGCGGAAATCCGCGGTAGTCATCAACACTGAAAATGTCGACGAATTGAAGAATCACCCCAAAAGTCACTGACGGCAACACATGCAACTAATCGTCAGAAAGTCCAATTTTTTGGGCGAACAGTGAATGGCGGGGGGTAGTTACATCCTAAATATTTCCATGTTAATCTTCTCGAATACGAGTACTCATGATGCTCGCCAGCATTTGAAATATTGTGAATCGTTACTTGAGCGTCGCCTGCAAGGATTTCACTTCCCAGTCGCTAACTATCGTCACATCGTACCATGAAGTCAAAAATACTCTGATCCGGCAAAC